CGGGTTGGAACAATCCGTTAAGTTACTTTTTATTAGACAGTGGAACTTTGATCCATTTCAGATGGATCAACCTAAAACTCGCCTTACCTCAACATAACAATCATAAAACACACTCTAGAAATTTAAATTAAGTACTCACATCGTAGCACACTCAAGAAAGGGAAGTACTTCAGTCGGTAATTAACTCGAGAATTAAATAACGTAACTAAATGAGTTTTGATGTTTCAATGACAAGGACAAGTTTTAACTCTATGATGTAGTTTCTCGTGAACCATTGGGACACTCAAGCTGTCCACCTTTCCACCGAAGGTTCACTCTAGTTCAGTTCAAATAGTAATCCAATCGAGTGATAACAATCCAGTTCTCGGGAATACGCCTGTCTCTGTTTCAGATGGGACAGCTCTACTCTCGTTCTATTCCGACAGAAATTGCGAATAGCAACTTTCCCGCGATTGTTGTTCGATCGTTCTGAATTCTCTTTTTCGGTTTTCAGTTATCGCGAGAAAATCGTGCATGACAGGCTCCATTCGAATTTTTGAAAAATTAAATTTCACCCCAAAATTAAGTGCTCTTGCTTTTCTCAAGGTCAAACTTCCAAATATGACCGACTGGCACACTTCATTAATTTATTTGAAATTCCTAACCCTGTACTTGGGTGGTGGCAGGGTACTGTTAGGGGTTGCAAAGCTTGCCTCCAAATATTGTCTCTCATATCCTTGTAGTTTTTGAGATTTGACGTATATTTTCAGATTTCCTACAAACTTTTCTGTAAACATAGATTAAAAAAAATCACAAAATCCGTACCCTGAAACTCATTTATTTGTAGTTTTCGAGATTTGACGTTTTTATTTTATTATTAGAAAATTTGCAGAAAACATAAATTTGAAAAGTTTCACAAAATTAGGAATTCTCAACAATGTCGTTTTGTTTGGGTACTGTGAGGGTACTCTCAGGAGTTGCAACTCGTGCGTCTCAAGGAGACTGCTCAAATGATTTTAGTTGCAAATCTTGCCTCTAATTTTGAAAGATCGAATCCTTTTAGTTTCCGAGATATGACGTTTTTAATGATCTTTCAAAATTTTTCGGGAAACTTAGGTTTGAAAATTTTCAATTTAAAATTCCCAGCCCTATAGTAGGGTGCTCTCAGGTTACTCTCAGTGATGGCAAATCTGGCTTTTAAATTCTCTAGAGGCCCTATAGTTTTTCGAGATATGACGCTGTAATGAATTTTCAAAATTAGAATTTAAAAAAATTATAAAATTTGAAATTACCAATCATGTAATTGGGTGCTGTCAGAATACACTAAAAAGCTGCAGATCTTGTTTCCAATATGTGCGGTTTTTTATGAGTTGTTAAGAGTTTGAAGCGTCGGAAGTGCGTTACACGCTAGTAATTGTGACTTCTATCTTGACCAACTATGAATTTGAATAAGTTCCTTTTTATTTTTCTCAGATGTTTCGGCTTATTGTTTATTGGCACATTCATATCTGATATGCGTTGTTTGAAGAGCGAAAACAGGTTGCTGTGCTTTTTTACGTTTCAGGAGGGGGTTGGGTGGGGTGTAAGTATAACAATTTAATAGTTCAGAAAATTGCCATTCTGCGATTTGTTACTGCAATGTTGTTTTCGGCTCAATGTGCGTCTGCTTAAGTTTTTTGCTGCTTATTGGGCGCTGATCTTGGATGATACTGAATGCTTGTATAGCGTTGGTGATAATGTTTTCCGACGGTCAATTACTGAAATTGAGCATCAGTCGAGACCAACGTCATAAATTTTGTTTTTTTTAGCTTTGTTTTTTTTTATTGCCAAGTTTCCAATTACAAAATAATTGGAAATTAAATTGCCAATAAAAAAGTTTTTCCGGTGTTGAGAAAACTTGTTTGATCTTTGTGATTTTTGGTCTTATTTCGAGCTAATAAGGTGAGCAAGCAGGATGTTTTTGTTGTTTATCTAAAATCATACCGCAAATAATCATTGTACTGACTGGACTGATATATCTTATTGAAGCCCTTTCAGCCCTGATTCGAACAACGTTCAAAATTTTTCTAACAGTTGTTCCAGTGTCGAGAAGAACCAGTTTGAAATTTTTTGAGTTTTAGTCTAATTTCGAGCCAGTAAAGCAAGCGAGCAAGCTTATTATAGAAGCATAATTTCAAAAAAAAATCTGTGTTTTTTTTTGTCATTTTTCGACAAACCGTTGCCCGATTTGTCTTATATGCTTATTATATATTGTCGCATATGCCTAAATTTTATGTTTTCGTCAGATCCTTTTATCATACGACTCACAGAAACCAACACTAGTTTAAAAAAGAACATGAAAATGCTTTTTAGTATTTTTTATGAGTATGGTCGGAACATTCTGTGCTACTTCACAGCAACCTGCTATCCTTGTTTTTGTTGTATATATTGTTTTTCGATTGACTGAAATAAAGTTTGGTGTTCCATCTCTCAAAATGCATATCTTTTTTTAAGCTATGGGTAAGCGAAGAAAAGTCGAACAACTAACTCGACGAAGACAAAAGCTACGACTTTCGCCAAGTTGTTCAGACGCTGAAGAGGAAATTAGTGATACAGAAGTCCACAAAACTGCTGTCGCTCCTGCACCTGTAAAAGATAAGCAAGGTACACTCGCTGCCAAAGATAGTGGAGCTGTTTGTGAGAGCAATGCGGATAATGTCAATGATACTGATGCCACCCTTCAGCAGTTTCTGAATGAAATTGATAATTTGGAGAAGAAAAGCCAAGAATCTGCTTCAATCGCTCCTAATTTTCCAGAAAAGTGCGTTTGGCTGGAAGTCTGGGATGATTTTTACGGACGTAATTATTTCTATAATTCTGAAACAAAGGAGTCAACTTGGATTCGCCCAGAAAATGTTAAAATTAAAACGCACGAAAGAAGTTTCGAGAAGAAGGAAAAGGTTGAAATAGTCACTGATGAAGAAACCAATGGAGACCGCAATGATCTCACGGAAGTTGATACGGAACCCATAAAAGAAACTTCTGAAGCCAACAAGGAAACAGAAACTGAGGATGTTGCAAGTCCATGCCCCTCAGATGAAGATGTTAACATCATCATTAATAATCCTGAACCAAGTAAGATGGGAGCCATCTTCAGCTTGACATCGTATGGAGATATCAGCGATTCCAATGAATCGGATAACGGTGATAGGAATGAGAAAGAAATTGTTTCACAAATGGACGTGGAAACCAATCCTGATTTATCTTCAATTGACATTGATGAAGCTCTGGAATCAGCTGTAGATTTAGAAGTCAAAATGGTCAAAACAGATACAAAGCCTGAACCTTACGACCCGTCTTATTGTACAAATCTGGAAACAAAAATATCAAGTTTTGGAATATCTATGGAAGAAATTAATCCTTTTATAAAGCTACTCGTTGAGTTTGAATTACATCGAAAAAATTTCAACTCAAATATCATATCACAGTTTAGTTATATGGAAGCTTTAAAATCAATCAAAAATCAGCTGGAGTCAGTGGAAAAATCAATTGAGGAGAATGGACTAGAATTGAAATGGGATGATAACAGAAATTGTTATATGTATTTCGACAAAAATTTGAACAGTATTTCTGACATCAATACTCCGTTGCGTTCTCTGCTAACAGGTCTTGGTGTAGAACAAAAAGCCATTAAAACCGATATGAAGCATCTAGGAACGTCAGATTCTATCGAGAACCACGAAAATGAGCCTCAAATCCAGGTTGAAAGTATCCCCCAACCACTCTCGAAGCAAGTTGAGACTGACGTTATGAACGATTATATGCCCCCTCCACTGCCCAAAGAATCACATCCCTCAGCTTCATCCCCACCACCACCACCCCCATTACCAGAGCACTCATTTGTACCAGAAAGTTACTCAGAACATGCGAAACATGTTACGCTTCCAAGCAATGATGAAGTGACAATTGAAAGCGAAGATCCTGTAATTCTGAATCCACAAGTCTGTGACAATGACAGTAATCATTCACTTCCTAACAATTACCCAGATTTACCCCCAGAATTTGAAAGCTTCCACGAAGACATCAATGATCCAGAGAAGCAGTACAAAGCTTACAAAAAACTGAAAAAGTATGCAAAACAGCTATCTAAACAAGGTTACGGCAATAAGCACGATCTCGTTTCGCATTTTGTGAAAAAGTTAAACGAAAGGCACGTGTCTGAATCTCCGAGAAGCTCAATGTATACTGACGAAACTCGTTCTGTAAGTGACGAAGCAGTAGAATCAAGGGAATTTGTTGACACGCCACCTCCTGTTCAAAATGTCTCAACGGAATCCAGTAATCATGAGATGTCTCCTTATAGCAGTGTACATTCAGACTACAGCTCAAAAGACAAGGTTGCATCGCAAGCAGAGATCGAAATTAATGAAACTCCAGTTGAAAAGTTGCCGGGCGTCGGGGAAGTTGTATATTGTTTGCCACCGCAAATGCCGCTGCTTGCTGTGGAAGAACAGCGTCAGCCCGAAGAACTTATCCCGCCAGTTAGCGAAAGTAAATCAATTGGTATTAAAAAGAAAGAAAGTGATCCGCGATCTACAAATACAGAAAAAGAAAAACGGAAAGCAAAAGTGAAAACTAGCTCTGCGCCTGGAAGTGGTTTCACAGGGGCCAAGTTCAAAAGCAAAAGTATGGGCAAGTTGGTTGATAAGTGGACGAAAGTCAAAAAGGAAATCAGCGAAGACCCCGACAGAATTGAGGGCGAATATCATTTTGAACCGAGAAGTATAGACAAATTACGACAGGAACAACGCAGATTCGATCATGCAAATCCAAACTTAATAGAAATTGATGAACACAGAAATAAACTTAAATAGTCTTGAAACTGAATTTGAATTGAATGATACTTGAAGTGTTGTCAATTGTGCCGTGCTATATTTTTAGTTGAACAGAATACATTATTTCGATGCAAGTTTTGAGTGTCAGTATATGTGCATTTTTACGTAAAATTAACAGTTCATGAGTGAAATATGAGCATAAATCTGATGCCCGCATTAATCTGTAGTGAAAGCCTCGTTTATCTGCGCCAGCGCATCTGTAGTTGTGTTGTTTCGGTTCAAGTTCTGCGGACCAGAAGGATGTCTGGCTCTTAAGTTAGACGCCTTCGGATCCTGGTTGGGTTCATTCTGTCCATTGAGGAAAAAACTGTTGTTGCCCACCAGTCCAGTCCAGTTGTACTTCCTTCTGCTGGAGTACCTGCTGCTGTCTCTGTTCGTCTCTCCCCAACCTCGGCGCAATTTGAGAATGTAGTTGGCCCTGTTGGCAGAATTTGATTAGTATCATTTGCAAAAGAAATGAATATAAGACCCGCACATGTTTTCGAGCTTCAGAAAACTACCACTTCTAGTCCTAGCCCTTAGTGTGAATGGGCTAAAACTAAGTGTTTCAACGAGAGGTTTGAACTATTAAATGTAAATTAATCAAAGGTACTTTGTATCATTTGAAAATAGTTTTGCTTTTTTGTCGACCTGAAAATAAAATATGCGCTTTTTCAATTTGTTCAATCTTAGCGCCTTGCTTTTTGGGAAGAGTGAAAAATCTCAAAATCAGTTAAGAGAAAAGATTAACAAAAAATATTTCCTCCATTTTTTGTCGAAGTACGTGAGACACGTGTAGGTCGTGTTATTACGTTTTATTTTTTCAAGAAAAAATCTTGTTCACGCTCAACTTTGGTTTAAAGCGTTTCTAATTGTTTTGCTAAAACGAAGGCAAACTATGCTCTCGAATATTAAAAGTGCAAATGGTGTGGATAAAAAAGCAAATCACTATGGTTTCATAAATTGCTTTCTTTTCAGAATTCCCAGCAGATAAACTTGAAATATTGATCCAGATTTCTCTGTGTTTGTTTCACAGAAAAGTTTTGAAATATCTGTCATCAGAGACTTGAAGTTCATGGAGTAAATATGATCATGTTTTTTTTCGAGCAACTTTTTTTTATTGGTCTCCTTGATTTTACTTTTCCGACCAATAAAAATGGAAGAAACTTTGTATTCGGGTATTTTGAACTTTTTGCTCTTCGACATAAAATCAGGAAACACAAATAATCACCGTAATAGGTCATGATGCATCATATTAAAGACTGTTCATGATTCGAACTACATTAAAAAATTGCCAAGTTTCGAGCAAATATAATACTTATAAAAGGCTAATAATCAGCTTTTTACTAGTAGAAAAAACTGCACATTTTGTAATTAAGGCAACTTTCTACGAAGAATAATTTAAATTAAGCACTATCATTTTCTTATTTTCTAAACTTTAAAGATTTGAAGAAAAATTGGATTCGTGCTTTTTTCGGACAAGTATATATATAAACCGCCAAAAATCTAATTTTAAAAAAAATATTTTGAATCCTCATTTTGAAAAATGTTTTTTTTTAACTTAATCAAATTTCTAGTCTCCTCTCCACAGAAAAAAAACGAAAAATTAAACAAAAAATTTTTAATTGAAAATTTGTCGCAAATGGAAATTTTTTGTACTTTGCGCACAGCATAAGATTACTATTGTTTCTTTACGCTTGAGTGGTTGCCTTTGTACTCAAAGGTTTGGGGTTTGTCGTACTTTTGTTTGTCTGCTTATTTTTTGTCTATTTAGTTGCCAAATCGTAAGTTTTTGTGCTGTCATTTTTTTTAGCGTAAAGTCTAGTTATTTTGATTTACTCAAGTAATTTCTAAAATAATAGCCCTTACATTGTTCATTTTCCTTGGTTCTCCTTAGTTTTTTCGCTCAGAAGCTTTTTTCGGTCTCCATAGTTTGGGCTCATCTTTTATCGGATCAGTTTTTTAAATTTTGTATCGGTTCAAAAACAAAAAAATAATTGATTTTTTGACAAATTCATATAGTTAGTTTTAAGAGAATTCAAAATTTTGAAACTTAATAATTAAAGATTTCCTATGAGAACAATATCTTGTGACAATTTTTTTCCTGCTCAAAGAGCGTCTATCAACTTAGTGCCTGTTGGCTTAGTGCCCACTTGGTAATTTCTAAAAGCTTTTTTAGTACTGGTGGCTGTCTGTTTTTGACTGGTTTTCGAAATTGTGTTCATTTTTCCACCACAAATAAAAAGGTTTTCAATTTTGTCATTTCTGTCTCATTTTCTATTCGCTAGCTTGCAATGCCGCGCTGGCGTTGCATTGCAAATAATTCGATGCCCAGATTTGCCTCTGCGTACAAAATTTGCTCGGTTGATTTCTTGCAGATCACCAGGATTTAATTGTCTCTTAATGGATATTGTAGCTGAATACTGAGAAGATAATTATTCTTAATGAGATTTGTTTTGCTAGCAATATACTGGCTTTGGGGCTGCCCACAATGTAAGACCCTGACCTATCTTTGTTTTTGAGGGTTTTTAGCTTTTACGACGCTGTTTGTTTTATCTGAAAAAAAAACAAGTTATTAGGATTTAGCATATTTTTGTTCATCTATATTTATTGAAATGGAGCATGGAGCTAAAGATTTGTTATATTTCATTTTAGAAATTGCTTAAACATGAATGTAAATTATTAGCGAAATTTTAACAAAATAGTTTTTTTCGAAAAGATAATTGCACCTGTTGGTAGCTTGTAGTTTATTGTACAGTTTCTCCAACTCGTCGACTTCCTTGTCTTTTCCCCAGTGAGTACTCACTCTTCCGACCACGTTGTGGAGTTCATCGAACACAAATCTGGTCTTGTGATCGTAACTGCCAGACAAACTGTGTTCAACCAAATCCGCACCCAAAATCTGGACATACATTATTATGAGTTATCTGAATTATGAACACACAACTTGTAGGGTCCATCGCAACGTACAACAAATAAAACATTTTACAGGAACGATTGGAAAGTTGATCGGTCGTAGGAAGAAAAATTACACTCATTAACGTATTGCGACCGGAAAACTTGGATCACTTTGAAATTGTTGTTTAGTTGCTTTCTTGTACAACATTCCATTTGTGCTTATAGCAGTTTTCAAAATCGGAAAAATCATTGAAGACCACGAACAAGAACTGTTGCATTTAAAAACCGCCGCCTTAGCAATTTTTTTTTGCTTTTTCTTATTTTAATATGCATTGATGATGAGACGAAAGATAGCAAAAAGAGAGCTGACCTCTACGACTAAGTTAGCCCTGAGTCCAATGAGCAGATCGAGTGGCTTCAAAACTGCATACGTTGTCAACACAGTCCATGCACTTATACTCATCAAGTACACCAGCTGAAACAGAAGACAAGGTTTTTCTGATGATTCTCAGGATTCGCAATAAATAGAAAAGAGTGAATAAAGTGAAATTTTTCTACGAACCGAAATTCTGAGAAAAAATCGGCAGATTTGACTCGCCAGCAGTGTATTTAGGAGTTCGCTGGTTTATTACACCAGTTTTTGGACGGCCAGTACTTCAAAACTTTTTAAGATATAAAAATCCAAAAAAAAAATACATTTTTTTTGATGCAGTACTTTTTAACAGAATAGTGTCTTCTTAGTGCTAAAAAGTAGACTAAAAAAATTTGAAAGTTTTGTTGGAAAATCCCCTACTCTGATTTGAAAAAAAATGAGAACTCCATTGGTCGGAGCAATCTTTGCTAATTGCATAGCCAATTGCTCAATTTGCGTCATATTTTATCTTCAGGATCGAGTTTTTGTTGGAGTTTTCCGATTCCTGAAAATGGGGAGGAACTTTTCAATCGAGTATATTTTAGTTTCTATAGTTTTTCACTTGAAATGAGGTGCTGCAAATGATCATTACAAGCGATCGAGGGATATACCATTTTGATGGTTTAAAAAAGACGGTTTTGAAAAACGGTTAAAAATCAATAACGGCGGAGCTGTAAAAACAGTAAAGAACAATAAAAATCTCCCGAGTGCAAAATGTGACTATTTTTTAAACAATGGCAGATTCTATGGGGATTTTCGTCTCAGATCTGTGCACTTGAGGTTTTGATGCCAAGACAAAAACTTCCCGCATAATTTTTCGTTTAGCTAGCTACTTTTGCGCGAAATTAGCGAATATTTTCGTGATCTTTCATAAGCTAAGAGCCTTTGTGGAAAACTTGGAAATGATACCAAATTCCGGAGACAATTAGACAAAAAATTTTATCACTACTTCTCAAGCTAAGATGATAGAGCTGCAAAACTTAATATATCTCAACAAACTGGACTTAATTTGTCAGCGTTCTAATACCAAACGAAGAAAATTTCGCTCGATGCAGTTTCGACCTGACGTGTTTCGCTTCGGCAGGCAGGATTTTTTGTTTGCGCTATCTGCTCAGCTGGTGATTCAAGTTTGGAAAATTTCATGAAATTAAAAATGGAGTAAATTCATGTCTAGACAAGTCGCACCCTGATGAAAGATGACAAGACAAAGTTTGATTCAGCGAATAGAGCAAAATAATACAAAGCCAAGCCATGTATTTTATGAAATATGAGTGCATTCCGCAATAGGCAGAAAAAAGGTTTGAACCAAAACCCGCACATTGCCAGTTTTTAATCTTCTTTGCTGTTTTGGATTTCACAGAAGAAGAAAAACATAAATACTGTTGCGCTGAAAATCACTTCTCGCTCTGGCAGTTTTGCATAATCCGCAACAAAATATAGGGAATTAAGAAGAAAATTTGCGGAACCCGGAACGACTTGTGGAATCCACTAACAAATAATGTTTAATGTGTATAGTAATTTTGCTGTTCAGTTATCTGCATTTGTAAACAGAGTCCACAAATTGTAAGTGGAGTTCGCATATTGAGAGCGAAATCCACAGTGTACGCGGAAACAGCAAAATGTAAGCGAAATCTGCATAATCCGCTATTATTTGCGGAGTTCGTTTCTTTTTTTGCGGAATCCGCTTACGTTTGTAGAATACGGAGCAACTAGCTATATTGGCTCGTTTCAAAACCCGCAACAAAACTGATGTGCCGACAAAATTTACGTTACAAAATTTTATTCGCGGAATACACGGAACTTTTGCGATTGGATTCCTTCTACATTTTGGAACATGTTAAAAAACTTGTCACTGGATTCCAGTGACCCACTGACACCGAATTGTGCGCCTACCCACTACACAGTTTGACCTCGTAATGAAGGTTTCATGGCGTCATGGTTAACACCAAAAAGGTATTTACCAAAAAGGTATAGGGAACTAATACGTTAGTCATAGAATAATTAGTCAGCATGTTAATTTGATTCTTTTTCAGCTCCCTTCCCTCACCTTCCAAAATTTCGGTTTTCACCGTTGTCTTAACTATAATCATGGCTTAATGCGTGATGTTCCAAAGTAAAGTTGGATTAACAAATTTTTAAACAATTGTCAATTTGTTCACCAAGTTTCATTGCATTATGACAAGGTTAAATTAGTTTTTCAAAATTGAAATTGACAGGTTGGGGGAAGGTGAAGAAGAATCGCCAATTTTTGTAACAATCAGACACTGAACAAAAATACTTCTAAGAATTGGCAGGTGCGGTTGGGAAGGAAATTTTACTGCAGCCTCATTGACAAAACTTTAGGTTCTACCGAGATTTGAACTCGGATCTTTGGATTCAAAGTCCAAGGTGCTAACCATTACACCATAGAACCTTATAAATGTAGGGTTGGTTTATTTTGATCACTTGGCCAACACAATTTTTTCACGGCCAAGGGGATACGCAGAAACTATTTACTTAAGTTTTGCTCACACAAGGAGTGCCAACATGTTTCAACTCCCCTTAAAGATATGAGCGTAGGAATAGTTCCTGGACTATCTTTCTCAATTTTGGAGTTTCCATGAATTATCCAATAGGATTTAGTTCGGTGTTATAATAAATCATTTTCATTCCAATCAATAGAGGACAATTAAGAAAACTAATTAGTTTTTCTTGAAATTTAAATTGCGGTTTGTATAAAATTTGGGGTGCCGCAGAGAAAAACTCGAAAAAATCAGAAGGAAAAACAAAGCCGAAATTTTTAGATGCTTTTCTGAATAATTTTCATTAAAAATGCTACAGCTTGGCTGTCAGAACACTTTAAGCTACTTTCGTGTTTTGTTGAGGCATTGTGACAGAAGTAATTTGGGTTGCGTAGCAAAATGTAGACAATTCATAAAGTAGACACGCCATAAAGAAGGCAAATGCTGTATCAACCAATCAGAATGGAGACAAGACAGGTACGAAAAAATAATAATAGTTTTCTTTACCTTGCTTGTGATTGGTTGTTATGGGTATTTGTCTACTTTCTGACGAGTATGAAATAATAAAGGTTGTCTACATTTTGACCGGACTCCAGTGATTTGATATATACTAAAGTGTGAACAATCCATTACATCAAGTGTGAGTAAAACATAACTTCTCGATGTACAAAACTTGCGGCTACCTGTTTTCCGAGAAGAGAAATATGACCACCGGCAATCAAACCTAGAATTAATTTAGTTGTTAATTTTTGGCATCCATCACATTTTGAAGAGTTATTCATTAATGTTTTATGTCGCCCCCAAACGCAAATCAATGAGATACCAATTTTATGTATTTTTTTTTTACAAAACGAAGGCCTAACTTAGAAGGCGGAACAACAAGCAGAACCAAGGCGGAGTAAAATTCCAGCGAACCTAAATTTGAATTTGTTTTCAAGGAGTACCTGAATCATCAATGAGTCCTACTTCAGTGAAGTCAGCATGTGCGAATATGGCAAGAGAGATCACGCCCCATGCCCCTCCCACCCCATGCACACTGACACTACCCACAGGGTCATCCACTTTCAACACTTTGGTCAGTAGTTCATGGCTCGCTAGAGTCAGTGCACCCCCTATGGCTCCTATGGCGAATGCCTCGACGGGGGCGACCACTGCACACTGAGCTGAAATTAACGAAGTTCAAACTTATTTGACCAGAGAAGTTGGTTGTGAGTCTTCGTTTGTTAAGAAGTTTGCTTCGTTATATAAATTTTAACATAATCGTTGCATAATTAAAGATATATCTGTTCGTTATGAGGACCGGTCTACTTGCATGCGTGCCGCTTGGCATGCACATGCGGCTATTAGAGCTATTAGAACTGATTTAATATCCTTACATTTGCAAATAAAACAAACTGATGCGTGCTGCATCAAAGCGAGTAATTAATGTTTCGACCATTGAAAAGGAGGAGTAAGTTTTTATTTGGGTTTGTTGCAGCTTTTGTTCGGACCATTTGAAAAAAGCGGAGAAGTGTGTATTGGGGTGTGTTTTACTTTTTTCTTTTTTTTCCACGCAAAATCAGGTGCCACAAATAATCATGGGAATGGGTCGAGTTATATATCATTTTGAAGCCCTTTCTCTCTTTCAGTTTTGATTTAAACGAGGAGTAAGTTTTTATTTGGGTTTGTTGCAGCTTTTGTTCGGACCATTTGAAAAAAAGGGAGAAGTGTGTATTGGGGTGTGTTTTACTTTTTTCTTTTTTTTCCACGCAAAATCAGGTGCCACAAATAATCATGGGAATGGGTCGAGTTATATATCATTTTGAAGCCCTTTTTCTCTTTCAGTTTTGATTTAAACGATCTTAACAAATTTCGAAAAATTTTCCTCAGAGTCGAGAAAAATTGATTTGAAAATTTTGATTTTTGATCTAATTTCCAGCTAATAAAGTCAGCGTGTAGGCTTACAATAGCTTCCTAGAGCTCAATTGAAGCCGTGAAAAAAAAAATTTTCCTGAAATGAAGTTAGTTTTGATGGTCTTTTAGCGCCGCAAATCAAAATTTTCAAAATTTCAAAAAAAAATCTGAAAAACAATTAGAAAATTTTGTGAACTTTTTTGGAATTATTTAACCTTTTTTTTCGTTGTTTTTAAGGTCTTTTTCTACAAAAACGGTTTTCCATTCGGCAAACTCGACTTTGAATGTCGAATATGCCTAACTACCAATTTTTTTGCTCAGATCTATATATTACACACAGCAAAAAACGGCACATATTTTAAAAAACATGTTGAATTTTTTTAGAACTATAGTCGGAACATTTTGTGTATACTACTATGACTGTCAGTTATGTATAAGCTCTAATTTTCGGTTCAGATACTTTCATCAAAGTACGCCGAAAAAACGAAAATTTGAAAAATTTGTTGTTGTTTTTTTAAGACTATTGTCGAGTCATTCTGTGTGCTATTTGCACAGTAACCGGCTATCCTTGTTTTCTTTCCTTTTTGTTTTCTTCGTAAAATCAGGTACAACAAAAATTATAGGAATGGTTCGGTTGAAATGTCATAACTAAGGCGTTTCTATCGTGATTCGAAAAAAATTCTTAAAATTTCCAAGAAATCGAGCAAAGTTTTAAATTTTAGTCTTATTTTAAGCGATGAAGCAGGTACTACCAAATCCATATCAGTTACTACAAATCATCCTCGGAAGTTACTACAAACCATCATCCAAAAAAGTTACTACAAATCATCATCGGAAGAAGTTGAGTGATCTAACATATAGAATAGAAGCTTTTTCAGCTCTGATTCGAATTACTTTCAAAATTTTTCAAAATATTGTCCTAGTGTCGAGACAAACTGGTTTAAAGTTTTTGAGTTTCAGCTCGATTTGGAGCGAATAAAACGAGTGAGCGAGCAGCCTTCTTATAGTCAACCGGGACACTTAAGTTTTACTCCAGTAAAACTAATATTCAAATGTTTTAAGCTTCGACTTGCGAAAAAAAAAATTCAAGAATTCAAAAAAATTTTGAAATTTTTGTTGATCTTGCGCATGATTTTTATTGTGTGTCTTTTTTTGATAAAAACGGTTGCCCATTTTTCTGATCTTACTGTGATCGTCGAAAACGCTAAATTTCTAGGCTTTTAACTGATCATTTTATTACAAAACGAATAATTTGAAAGAAAAACAGAAAACCTTTATGTATTTTGTTAAGAATATGGTCGGAACATACTTGCACAGCCACCAACTTTCCTTGTTTTGATTGCTCATGCTAAGCGCCTGACATGCAAGTAGCTACGCGCCCTTGTTCACTACTTTTGGCTTGCTTATATCGATTTTTAATTCGGTTGGCGTATATACATCCGCGTTTTGAACCCATTTTTTGGTGTTGCTTTTTAGGCGGGTGCCTTTTCTGCAATTTTTTTTTAAAACGTGGAGAAGGTTTTCGAATACTCACAGGTGATAGATACCAGCGCTCCTAGAGTCCCGCTGATGATGTAATGCAGCTCGAATTTGCCGCCTTTTGCAACATAGCTTAAAAATTAATAAATAATAATAACCAATAAATCATAAAACCGCCATTCTCATTCAAAACATGGGAAACATTTTTACCTCACCACAAAAGCAACAAATCCTCCAGCGACTGATGCATTGATAGTCGTAACAGCCGCTCTGAAACGCAAAACTAGCAGCTCATTTAAATTGGCAGCTACATGTGGTGAATTGAGTATATCTAAGAAAAAGTCTAACAAAAGGTCATCAAAATTAATACTTCGACCCATTTTTATCATTTTCTGAAAATTGAATGGCAAAGCAAACAGCTGAAATATAAAAGAGGTGCTTACACGGATGCCAGTTTCCATTTTCCACCAGCGACCCCGTATGTACTGCCACAGTTGAACCCGAGCCAACCCCACCTACAAATTTAAAATTATATAATTTTACCTATCTTGAAACTTTTCAGAGCGAAGTGTCTTTCATTTATATAACCATCGGATGTTTTCCTATCAAATGGGATAGAGTGAAAGTTATGATTGTTTTTGCGGGAACGTTCCTGCAAAAATTCCTGCAAAAAAAATAGTTTTTCGTGTTAAATTGATTTATCATAGCTTAAGGCTCCTAAAACAAAAAAACCATTGGTAAACCCAATTATATTTAATTGATTAACTAGAGCTTTTATTCGGTTGTATGATTGAAATTTTTTAAAAAAAAATAGCAAATAAAGTCTAACGGGCAATTCACTAATCAGTGCTGTTACCATAATATGAACATTCCGAGTAGTGAGTTGGTGGGGTTGTCCATTCTCTCGAAGTCCCTCTTCCTCTGAGTTGATGTACCCCCATATCTGCCTGTTCTGGGACCCACCATCCATGCCCCCACCAGACCAGTCAAACCCCCCACCAGGTGCACCACACCACTGCAGCACATCATTATTAACTTGATGACATCAGTTGCGGATTCAGAGAGGACGCCTTTTTTCTCACGATTCAACCCCTGCCGACCCAAAAGGTCCCTCCTTTGTACTACTTTAAGAAAACCAATTTTTGGCTGACCAAATCCTAGGGCACGCACCTTTTGACGCGACAATATACTAAATTTGAGAGGCAAAGCGCATTATCTTGAACAAAACTTTCAAAAAAGTGCCGAAAAACGCCGTTTTCGGCCTGATTCTTGATTTTTTTTAATTCGCCTTCCTCGAGAAAGTTTTAGATCTGCGCTTGAATTGCGTGAGTCATATCAAAAATAAAAAAGGGGTCGACATTTCCTTTTTTTTTTGAATGATTTATCTCCCAATGGCTTCCTTTTGGAACCAGATCTAAACTAGAATTTATTTTTGGATATTATTCTGATAATTTATCTCTATAAAACATTGAATTCTAACCAATCATACTCTATCAAACTAACAACCCACTTATTTGTAAGTGTTGTAACTACTTGTAGTTTCAACACCAGAACAATTTGAATTAAACTTAGAATACAGTTGTTCTCATTCTGGAACTAACTCTAATAAACCGGTGTATACTAGATCTATTGAGACTAGGAGATATATGAGTAAGATTAAGATTGGTATTAGACTAAGAAGTTGCACGAATCTATCCGGCCGAAAATAAGATAGCGTGACGAGCAGACGGTGTACCTTATCTGAAATTACTCTATGAGTATACCCAAAAAAATATAGCTCATCTGGTGCGACCAAAAGTCTCGAACAGACCTTAACTAACCTAGATTTAGAAGAAAAAATTAGATAAGAATTAGACAAATACAACATTTCAAAAATCTTATATGACAAAAATTTAGGAGATATGTCTCTACGACTCAATAGATCAGATCCAAGATTCCGAACAATACGAGAACTACCCGGTCTTGGAAGAAGACCTCCAACAAGAGACGACATACGACTAGGAAGAAATCTACCAATCGATTTCATGATCGTACGACAAAAAGCAGATCAAACTTTTAATATTAGAATACTTCCAGCAGTAAATTTAAATTTTCATTTACTGATATAAAGTTTTGAAGAATCATCTTCAATAACCTTTCATGGCGCTAAACCTAATAATTATACAATAACGACCAATAAAAACAACACTAGTAGTTTTCCTTATATCAGCTGTATTTTAAATAACATCTTGAAAAAAAAACTATTGAATATAAAAATACAAAAATTAGTTAGTATAAATCATAGATTGTTAGTATATATAAATCAACTCTTCATCCCAGCTTCATCACTTAAAACATAACAGCAAATCTCAAAAACTAACAATCATCAAAACTGAAACTTAACCTTTTTAACCTAATGTCTTATCGATAAACTATCAAGGCTTATCCTTGTTTTCACTTAAATTAATTTCATTCAAAATAACAGATCATCAAGGCTTCCCTTGGATCTTTAAATTAAAATTAACTATATCTAAGTTTCTGATCATCAAGGCTTATTTTTAGATCAAATAGAACAATTTTGTTCTCCCCTCCCACATTAATTAGTGTCTAACGACCTCAAACGTCGATTCACTACCCAACCCTTATCAAAGACCCAGAATCAACAGAAATTTTTTAAACAGCTAACCATTCTAATTAGGACAAACAGTGAAGAACTTCAATTACTCATCCTTCACTTGATTCCCTCCTTTTAGATGACCCAGGCTTAAACACTTAAACTTAGTAAGTCATAAAATAGTATCTAACGAACAACTTGCGTTCTAGTTATACCTGAACCTTGTGGATCGATTTACTAATCTCCAACCCTTGATCACAAATCACAACCCCTAAATAAGAATAGGTAAGTCTATCTTAACATAGAATTATTCGTGAGAAAGTAAAAATCATTCTCACGAATCGATATACGCTTTTCTCTCCAACCCAACAAAAACGGCCCAAGTTAAGCTAACCACAAAAACTCGTAAGAAACTAACAGTTTAAGACATTAGAAATTACTAACCCCAATATTGCATCCGTCATCCTAAACCTTATGTCAAGAGACAATTTAGGAAACAAACAAACAATTAAACTACACAACTGTTTAATTAACGACAAAAAATACGACCTCGTAATCACAACACACAGACAAACCATAGGATACATAGGAACAAAAAGACAAACACTGAGAAAGAAAATTAATAACAAACAAAATCAAATTATTAGGAAACGATTTTCAAAACAAAGATACGCAGTCTCAGAATCAGAAACAAGCGCATTACAAAAACTCCAATAAACTTAATGAATAAAAACCATCAAATTGACGATCAAATACATTTTACTGACTCAGAAAGCACGTCCCCAGCATCAATAAAAGGAAAACGTAGAATCAACAAATGTTACACAAACAAACCAATACGTTTGTACAATTAGAATCAACCAATAAGACACATTGAAAATTACACACTAACAGTGACACAACACAAAAATGTTTCGAAACGAAGATAACTCAGAAGATTCAGTACTCTCATTAACTGAAGCTCGAGGACAGGTACAATTTTGCCAAAAAATTATTCGCAAATTTATTCGAAAAAGGAGAAAGTCTAGGAGCTCGAGGACAGGTACTTCTAGAGAAAGTCTAGAAGCTCGAGGACAGGTACAATTTTGCCAAAAATTAATCGCAAATTAATTCGAAAAAGGAGAAAGGAGTATATGTAGTCTCACATCACAATATGGAATCTACCTAAAAGAAATCATATCACCAAACGCATTTCATGACAAATATCTCATTCAAACTGGTGACGTAGATTTTGAATTTTCAAAAGTTTTTACACAATACATCAAAAGTATACAACATCAAAACTCACGAAGAGCAAACTCAATAATCACAAACGATGTGTTCTCACTTATCTATAGCTATATATCTATATTATTAGAATTTAAAGAACCTCAAAGCAATTCACCAACTCAAACATCTCGACATACAACGGTACGACAAGAAATACATATATTTTCAAAATTTTTAAATGCAATCCGTGAAAATCTAACTAGTAATGACATAACACAACATGTTAAATACGATATCCAAAAAACTTAGCATGGTTCATAATTGATTATTTTATTCATAAATTGATCTTATTGCACAAGCAAGAAAAAGTTTTGGACCACAAAACACTGATGACGAAACCGTATTAGCAGAACAATCAGATTATGTTTGGGACCCTGAATGGTCTCATGAATCATTTATTAATATACCAACAGATATATCAAAACAAGCAACTAGCACAATTTCTGTTCACAAAGATAATGTTAGAGTATACCCACTTACAATTGACGCAACACCTTTGAACTATAATTCATTCTTCTCTGAAAGAACAGGAAATAATAGTTTAAATTTATAAATCAAGACAACTTAAATGGAACAAGAAATCTTACACAACAAGATGTACAAACTCCATCACATCTCGTAAATGAAGAAATAGTTGAAACAATAACAACAACAGAAGCACAACGAAGCATTTCACCTATTCAACCCAATTTTACAACTGCAAAACTAAAAAACCCAACGCTACAACAAACAATTATACAATCCACAGTAAAACCCTCTGTTGCTCAAAAATCTTTACAAATCGATTACCCAACGTTTCCACCAGTAAAAAAACCACCATTTAAACAAAAAACATTACATAGAAATAATTTCGCAGAACATAGTTAGAACTATGTAAATACATCAAAAACAACAAAACCTTCTTATATGAATACTCAGAACTACTCATACTCACAAAGTCAAAATATACCACAACCGACTTCAAATTCAGTAAATTTAAACGATCAACCACGATCCTCACAAAAGCAAATTGAAAATTACCCATTTTTTCAACAAAATAAAAATAATACAAATAGATACCATACCAGAATATAAGCTCTTTATTGTACAAAAAATTATTTTCCATCAGATGGTGAAGAATACTATAATCAAAATCATCAACGATTTTATTCAAGTCAAAGACCTCGTTCTTACAATATTGACCAACCAGAGATTTTTGAACCATACACACGAGATGAACAAGTACGATAACCTAGAAATAATCCAACATCTTACAACAATAATTTTCAACAACAAAACCCAGGTAATACACAACCTGACCAACCAACTCAAACGCATAACGAAATCCCACTGTCATATTATTTACAACAACATGAAATAACAAAAAATCAACTTACAAACTTTTCTCAAATGCCAAATGCCGCAGAATCACTGCAAATGACTAAAAATCCATACCTAATGGGTGGATCATCAATATCATCGAAAAAGCCACTAATATTATTAACAGGCACAGACTATGAATACTCTGTAGAAGATTACCTAAATGCAGTCACAGCAAATTTAAATTTAAATATAGGACCTGAACCAGTAAACACCACCAAAATTGGATACAGAGATGCACAGCCTTAATCCAAACCACACTTGACGGCGCAACCCAAAAATGGTTTTCAGTTTTACCTATAGAAAAAAAAGATTGGAAAAGATTCACAGAAGAATTTTCAAAAATGTTTGATTCTGAAAGAAACAAACAACATCAAAGTGTTTTATGCAATGAAATTCGTAGACTACCAAATGAAACTCCATCGCTCAATTTCCTACCCAGCCAACCTTCAAAGCAACCTCCCCATCATCTCACTTTTTGCTTTACCTCCACCTCAATCACCTCATGATAACACTTCATCCAGCATGGATTCAGATACTAATTCAAACACCACTGTATATAACACTATTTCCCAATTTAATAACTCTGATCTCGAGACCCCCAACGAATTTGACAACTCCAAACCCAGCCCATCTACATTTTCCCAGCCTCCCTTTCAACCTCTCCACTCCCAAATTAAATTTGAACCCCCTTCCTTTCCTTCTTTTATTTCCAATGTAACACCCACATTTTCCCCCTTGACCAGTGAACATTCCGACAAAAACAGCTCTCTAATTACCCAAATATCTCAAGAGCTTGATAATTTCATCACACTTCAACGACAATTACAGTACCCTCAAACACTAACCATTCACCAACTCTCACAATCTATAATAACATCCAACTCATCAACCCCAACTCCCTCTTCAAATTACTTCCCTTCGCAAAACACAACTTCCTCATCAACTCCATCCTCCAATACAAACCGAGCCTACCGAACTTTTAAAAGAAAACTCCCTAATACTCCATTTCCCTCTAACCCAGGAACAGCCACAACATTTTTTAATCATCCACTTCACACTAACACTAAGGTTTTCTCCAAATATGTTTACCCTTTTCCCTCAATACACATACTTTCATTCAGACCCTAATGACGAAAACCCTAATTATGTAAATGAGCACGTATTATACCCTACACTCTCATGAACATCATTATATCACTTTACTAATCCAATATCACTACCACTATATAACACCCCCCATGACAACGAACAATGCAGCACTCAACTCTATCTTTTAACAACAGCACTCACGCCAAAACAATTTACACAGACGGGATATAAACAATCACTAATCAGATTCACCGCACCCAGAACTAACGAATATTCTATCGACCACTACGATCATAACATCATAAGACCTAACGAAGACATCTTTCTAAACGGCGATCAGTTTGCTAACCCAAAACTAACAGAAAAGTTCTTCATTACAACACAAAACGTTCTCACCCTCAACACTTTAGGTAAGAAATACGACCACCTCATTTCAAATGCACTTTGTGATATTCAAGCTTATGATTCATGATTTAACAAATTTAACCATTTTTCACTAACCTTTCATTTCCTCACACCCAAAGAACTTGATTTGCACTGTTCACACGACGTCATGTTACGAGCGAAACAAACACACACTTATATTTATTTTAAGTTCATCCAACATCATTACACTCATAATACACCAGCACGACAAATACACCACAGATATCAATACATTAACTCCAAATACACCTCACCATTTTTTCTTAACTTCACTTATTGTATGAAAGATACTAACCTACAAGGCATCCTCCGCATTTACGAAGCCCGCCCAATAATCGTTCCAAACGAATTCCTACAGCCCGTTGAAATCCCAATCCTAGAATTCATCCATAACACCAGATATAATCATAAACTTTATAACCTCGTTCAAAATACACCCTACGAACTCTCACCTAGCACTGAAGAGCACAACATCATTAAAGCACTCGAATTGCTTTGGCCACTTCTTCAAAGTAAAAATATCATTCGTTTGATAGCTAAATTTTTAACATCATCAGAGATCATCCACTACGTTTTTCCCCAAGGATTCTTCACAAACGAATAGGTAATATGAAATAAACAAATTACTAAAAAGTTCGAACAAAAACTAACCATTCTTTATTAATTTTTTTTTCTATAGTCTTCATCGATACGATCATTAATTATCTACAAAAAAGATAAACGAAATCAAAAACAGACAACTTTTTCCTATAATCAAAAATTTGTATTAACCAATTTTAACAAATGAAGCAGTAAAATTTTCCCCTTAAAAAGCAATAAATTGATATATAACCTCTTTTTCCCTATGCAGTAAACATTTTACAATGAAAATAAATTGATAATTGTAATTTCAACCCCCCAAATCAAGCAGTAAAATTAATAATTGTTGCCTATAAAATTTAAAGCAGTACTAAACTTTTCAAAGACGCTTCTTTTTAGTTTAAATTTTCACTCGCCCACAATTCTATCACTAATCGCACAGCTCATTCACGAAGAATTGTTCAAATTAATGAATTCAAGTTTTAACTTTAACTGATAACAACTCTAACAAGTTTTAACACGTTTCAAACTTTCTTTTAACCCGATTGGAAAGGAATTATATAATAATCCAAACTAACCAACGCAAGCTTACTAAACACCACAACCTAACAGCATGACTAAAAAAAGAAAACCCACGGTACCCAAACTGTATTAACACCAGCTTAGAACTGGATAAATTATTCTTCTGAAGACTACTTTTAAGTCTGAACACAAAAGAACAAAACACCAAAAAGTCGAAAGACAAACCCAAAACAAACAATTTAACAATTTGATTTTTTAGAAAAAGACGTAACTAAGACAACTAAAGAAAACACCGGTGATAAAAAATAGCACGAAAGGTTGAACTAAAACAGGACCCTCCAAAAAGAGAGCATGAAATTATACCCTCACTCCTGGCCTAACCCACCAGAAGAGGATGTCCTGGGCATGCTCTATAGCCGGCCTCACCCACCGTGCTACATCCACGCTATGTGACCTCCACGACTCTATTTTTGACGGGAGTTACTCAAGTGTGGGTAATTCTTAAAATTAACCGAACTAAGCAACAACGCTTTTGCGATGAAAATTATTACAAGATCATGACAAAAAAATAAGATTTACAAAAACTTATATATGTAAATAATACAATGTAGTATATAGATAACATACAGCCCAAAAACGAGCAGCCACGAACTTGACAACCCAATCACACTCCAACTACGGAATGGCAAGACCCACCTGACATGCTGCCTGCAGTCACTACACTCAACGGTTTAAAAGTACGACTTGGCATCGCAGCAAAGGAAACCCATTGCAACAGAACAATGGCCATCTCGATGTTCAAGTATGCGTACAGATCCAAGTCACCAGGCACTGCATCCAAAGTCAAACTACATGCCAATCCCGAACGTGATCGGACCATCGCTATTCTCTAAAACAACCAAATCAACACTCATCACAACCGATCAGAAATCATAACTTGATCTCCTGAAACGTGATAACAACTCTTCTTCCAAACCAGAAAAAAGAATATGTTCGCAAGCTCTAAGGAAAGACACCATCATCCATCCTCAACTACAATAGAACACTGAAAAACTAATACATTTCAAACCCCGGGTGGGTGGAACCAGATCTAAACTAGAATTTATTATTGGATATTATTCTGATATTTTCTCTCAATAAAATATTGAAAACAAACCAATCATAATCCATCAAACTACTAACCCACTTATTTGTAAATGTTGTAACTACTTGTAGTTTCAACACCAGAACAATTTGAATTAAATTTAGAATACAGTTGTTCTCATTCTGGAACTAACTCGCATAAACCGGTGTACACTAGATCTATTGAGACTAGGAGATATATGAGTAAGATTAAGATTAATATTAGACTAAGAAGTTGCACGAATCTATCCGGCCGAAAATAAAATAGCGTGACGAGCAGACGGTGTATACCTTATCTGAAATTATTCTATGAGTATACCCAAAAGGATATAACTCACTTTTTAGACTTCCATGAAAAATTCAATAGTCTGACTTCAGTAAATAAGCTACAGATTAAATGTCATACAACTGACGGACGGTATGTTGAATATGGTTATAATCTAATGATTCTTTACAATTTCTCGGAGTTAAATTGCAACTCTCTTTAAATTGCAAAACTTCAAAAATGCGACTAGGCTACTAATGGCGAGTTTGATATTCGTCATTGTTTCTTCTTTTTATCATTGAAGGATCAACTTAACAATCTCACCCAGGAGCGGATCTAAGATTTTCTCGAGGGAGGGGTGGATTTTTTGGCCGACCAAATTGATTTTCGGAGCTCTCCTAAATCACTATAAAGACCCAATTCTGATAAAATTTTCTGCGCCGCAGGCATAATTTTGAAAAGGAGGCCAAAAAAAGCGTTTCTTGGCAATATTTGAAAGGCGCCTAAAATTGGATATCTCAAAATAGTACAAAGGGGGACCCTTTGGGTCGGCAGGGGGTCAAATTCCTGAGGAAAAAGGCGTCCACCCCACGCCCCCCCCCCCCCCCGTAAATCCGCTGGCGGTCTTACTCATTTCAAGAAAAGGGAGAGATTGTTAAGTAAATTAAACAATAAATTGTTACCCAATTAAAAATAGTTTAATCAAAAACACATGTTAATTGAGTTGCTTGCCTTCCTCCGATGTCGATGGCGCCTAGTTTGTTGAGCCACCCCTCTGGACTCCAGAGCCAGTGGACTGGGACACAGTAGATGAGGGTGTTGAAGATGGAGAAGATCATGTAGCAGGCGAAACTGAACCTCTCCGCCAGGGGCCCACTCACTTAACACTCATCACATCATTAAATTTGACAATTAAGTTGACAATTCGTTTTTATGTCATGTAGTTTTTGCTCTTTTTAAGGGGATTAGAAAAGGTCGCAAGACCTGATCAACAAGAACCCAACAATTTGTTTCAAATGATGTAAGCGAGTAAATAATTTCGTTTGTTTTTCTGGAAAGAAGTTGGATTTTACTATCTTCTATTAATTAAACGGGGGGTGAGGGCGGACCCTTCTTTTCTTCAGGGATTCGACCCCCTGCCGACCCAAAGGGTCCCCTTTTGTACTATTTTGAGATATCCATAATTGGTGACGGACCCAAAAAAATGTTCTACGGGCGCCTTCGGCTCCACTCTATACTAATTTCGAGGGGGGAGTGCGCGGCCATAAAACGCGATTGTTTGGTCGAAATTTTCTAAAAATTGGCTATAAACAACTTTTTTTGGCCTTTTTTCAAAAATTTGCCAGCGGCGCAGAAAATTTGGTCAAATAGCAGTCTTTATAGAGGTTGGGGAGACCTCAGAAAATCTATTTGGTCGACCTAAAACAAACAAGGTCGACAAAATTTTCAATTTTTTTTTTTGAAAATCCGCCCCTTCCCCTCGAGAAAATCCTAAATCCGCGTCTGGTTAAGTATCCGAAGTTTTCCAAGACTCTTAAATATCACCGACGCTTCTTTCTTTTTATCGATTTTTTTCTAAATGCAAAGCTTAATCATTGTATAGCTCAAAAAATCATTGTATCTAAAACTTAATCATTGAGTCCACAAAAACAAGTAGATTTTAACCCCAAATATTGCTCATATTGGACTATTTTGGGATCACAGTTCTAAGTCCGCTATCTCAGCCAAGACTGTCTCGACTTATAGTGTACAAACCCATGTGACCTATTTGCAGTTTATCGCGACTTATTTCCAGACTATCGCGACCGAAACTCAATATTTCAAGGCTTTGTCAGCTATATAAATATTCTCTTCAGGATATGAAATTTATGTAGCTAATTTGACATCCAGCCGAATTTAAAGTGCAAAAAATAATTGCGGACGCGTTGACTTAGGCTAAAATCAGGTCTTAAGACAGTTTTGGTTTTTTGCTGACCGACTGTAGTTGACGTCGTGCAGAGAGCGAGTTGGTAGAAATACTGAGCATAAGTGGTGCCCATCTCACTCTCCTCGCTCACAGTGGTGAAGAAGTCCGAGTAGCCGACTATTCCGTGCCAGCTGTGGCCGAAGGAGAGGGCGAACCCCACACTCCAGTACGACAGACCCCCGAAGATCACGTCCAGAGCATTCTTCATCATTATATTACACTCGTGCTGGAGAATAAGAAGAAAAACTATTTAGTGCTCCAATTTCGGCTATATTCAACTTTAAAAAAAACTGAACGAAAAGTCAGCCAGCCATACGTCAATGGCAAGGCTCTTTAAAACTGTCTCAATCTAAAAAAACCAAAAAAATTTTGAGTTCATTTTCAAAATTTGATTATTTTAGCCCACTTAGCTACTTTCAGTGAACCGGTTCGAGTTCCGCGACTTAAGAAAAAACTTTGTTCAACGCGTCGCATACTGTTTTCACTCTGGGTTTTGCAGTCGCGCCGCGAGCTAAATTACGCCGTCAGTCTTTTCTTAAGTCGCGCCGTAAGTCCTTTCTTAAGTGGCGCCTTCAGTCTTTTCTTATGTCACGCCGTCAGTCTTTTCTTAAGTCGCGGCGTCGCTCTTCTCGTTAAGTCTTATAATTGGTCGCGCCTTCGGCCTTTTTGTAAGTCGCGGCGTCAGTCTTTTCGTAGGTCGCGCAGCTCAAGTCTTTTCCTAAGTCGCGCCGTCAGTCTTTTCTTAAGTCGCGCCATGGGTCTTTTCCTAAGTCGCGCTGTCTGTGTTTTCTTAAGTCGCGACCACGGTCTTTTCTTAAGTCGCGCCGTCGGTCTTTTCTTAAGTCGTGCCGTCAGACTTTTCTTAGGTCGCGGCATCAGTTTTTTTTTCATAAGTTACGCTGTCAGTCTTTTCTCAAGTCGCTCATTAGTCATTTATTAAGTCGCGTAGCTTAAGTCCTTTCTTAAGTCGCGCCGTCAGTCTTTTCTTATGTCACGCCGTCGGTCTTTTCTTACGTCGCGGCGTCGCTCTTTTCATTAAGTCTTATATTGAGTCGCGCCTTCGGCCTTTTCGTAAGTCGCGTCGTCGGTGTTTTTTCAAGCCGCGCCGCTTGAGTCTTTTCTTAAGACGCACCGCTTAAGTCTTTTCTTAAGTCGCGGCTTCAGACTTTTTTAAGCCGCGCCGTCAAATATTTTCTAAGTCGCGCCGCCAGTATTTTCTTAAGTCGCGCAGCTTAAGAAAAGACCGACGGTTTGACTTAAGAAAACTCAGACGGCGCCACTTAGGGAAAGACTGACAGCGTGACTTAAGAAAATACTTAAGCAGCGCGACTTACTAAAAGATTGATTCCACGAGTTACAAAAATACCGACGGCGTGACTTAAGAAAAGAGTTCTGAGGCGCGGCTTAAGATAAGACCGACGGCTCGACTTAAGAAAAGACTTAAGCGACGCGACGTAAGAAAAACTGACACCGCGACTTATGAAAAGACCGACGGCGCGACTTAAGAAAAAGTTTAAGAGGCGCGACTTAAGAGAAGACTTAAGCGGCGCAACTTACGAAAAGACTGAAGCCGCAAGTTACGAAAAGTCCGAAGGCGCAACCTAAGAAAAGACTCACGGCAAGACTTCCGAAAAAACTGATGCCGCGACTTAAGAAAAGACTGACGCCACGACTTGAGATAATACCGACGGCGCGACCTAAGCGGCGCGACTTAAGAAAAAACTGAAGTGGCGCGACTCATGAAAAGACGACGGTGTGACTTAAGAAAACACAGACGGCGCCACTTAGGGAAAGACCGATGGCGCGACTTAAGAATAGACTGACATCACGACGAAAAGTTATAAGCGGCGAGGGTGAATTTACGGCTGCTTGAATTTAAAAGTTTTTCTATTCATGCTTTAACATTAGCAACGGCAGATATGAAATGCAAAAACTTGTAGCGTGATACTACTTTGATGCGTCGTGAATTGAACAGATATATAAAAGGGTGAGAAAAGAGTTTCAGTCAAAGTGTAATATTCTACCTTTCTGGAGACACTGCCTGATTCTAGCATTCCAAATCCGCTCTGCATCGTGAAAACAATGAAAGTAGAAGTGAGAATCCAAGTGGCATCGTCCCACGGGTTCGAAACAGGAGACTCCGAACTCACAATCACCACATACAATCCATCTAAGAGATATTAAATAGGGTTATATTGAATTAAATATGAATAGAAAAATAGCTGCATTTTTATGACTACATTCGCAAAAATATAAGGAATCATCTCTTGTCTAAGACATAGTGCAGATCAGGGGCGGATCCTGCATTTTCTCGAAAGGGGATGCACTTATTCCGAGCTACCCTAGCACACGACAAAAATCCCATTTTTACAAAACTTGACAAATTTTTGAAATGGAAACAGAACAAAATAGTCGTTTTCGGGAAATTTGCCAGAAGGTTTTGAACAAACTTAACATTTTTTTGCGTGCGCTCCTCCTCAAAACTATAATATATCGGAACCGAAAGTGTCGCGAAAAAATTACCTAATTATTTTCAAACTAATATACACTTCTCAGGAGTGAGAGAGAATAAAACTTTATGGAAAATGAACCTAGTTTTCCTGAAACCTAAACGTTGTTTTTGCAGAATAATCACATCATTATTAGAAATTGTTATCTACCTGAGCTTGTTCCAATATAGCCTTAGAGAAAAAAATGTAAAGAAAAAAGCTAGAAAAAAAACAAAAAAATATATTAAGGTTTTTTAAATTGTATTGAGTTAGGACCGATGTGGTTAACTCATAGAGTAATTTCGGATAGGGTACACCGTCTGCTCGTCACGCTATCTTATTTTCGGCCGGATAGATTCGTGCAACTTCTTAGTCTAATACCGATCCTAGTCTTACTCTTATACTATCTAGTCTCAGGTTGTTTAACTAGTCTCTGCTAGGCTCAATAGATCTAGGGTATACTGGTTTATTGCGGCTGCTGAAGTTCTCTTGGAGAGGCAACTAATTTCTAAGTTAAATTCAAATCTCTCAGGTGCTGAAATTACAAGTAATTTCAGCACTTACAAACAAGTGGGTTGTTAGTTAGATGGATCATGATTGGTTAATATTAAATACTTTACAGTGGTAAAATATCTAATTTATCCAATCATAAAATATAGTTTAGATCAGGTTCCACCCATCCGGGTTTTACAGAGTTTTTTAGAATTATCTTTCTGCAATTCAAAGGATGGATGATGGATGTTGGTATTTGGCGAACATCATATTCTTATCCGGTTTCTCTGGTTAGAGAAGTTCCAGGACGCTGGAATGATGGATATCAATCGTTGTGTCTTCTTGTGACAACGACTGTGTTTCCCAACGAAATCAATCTGATTTCAGAATGGTTTGCTATGACGGGTTTTTCTGTTTTATGTAGAGAACTTCTTTTGTATTCGACCTCGTCTGGGAATGGCGTGGAGATTGTGCGTGGAGGGGATGCCTTGTTACTCGGATCTGTACGTATACTTGAACATCGAGGTGGTCATTGGTCTAGTTCGATGAAGTCCTTTTCTGCGAAGTCAAGTCGTACTCTAAATCCTTTGAGTTGTGATTGTGGACGGCATATTGGTTGTGGTTGGCCATTCTTTTTCGAGTGTAGTGGGGTCATTTTGTCTTTGGATGTTCGTCTTTTTTGTTGTATGCTGATCTTTATACTGCAAGGTATAATTTACATTTTATAAAATTTTTATTAGTTCAGTGTTTTAATTATGATTTTGGTTAGTTGTTTTCACAAAAGCATTTTGTTTTAGTTCGGTTATTTTGAAGAGTTACTCACCCTTGAGTACCTCTTATTAAAAATAGAAGTGTGGTCACAAAGCGTGGATGTAGCGCGGTGGGTTAGGCCGGCTATAGAGCATGCTCAGGACGTCCTCTCTGGTGGGTTAGGCCAGGAGTGGGAGTATGATTTCGTGCGGTTTCTGTGAGAGGTCCTGTTATGTGATAACGTTTTATGTCAGGTTTGTGGTGGTTTTTCTTATGTTTCGTTGGTTGTGTCCTTTTTTCAAAAATCAAATTGTTTTTGGTATGGGTTTGTCTTTCGACTTTTTTGTGTTTTATTATTTCTTTCTTAGACTTTATAATAGTCTTCAAAAGAATAATTTATCCAGTTTTAAACTGGGTTAATCCGGTTTGGGTACCGTTGGTTTTCTTTTCTTAGTCATGCTGTTATTCTATGATTTGTGGTGTTTAGTAAGCTGCGTTGGTTAGTTTTGTTTAGTATATAATTCCTTTCCAACCGGGTTAAAGGAAAGTTTGAAATTTGTTATCGTGTGTTAGAGTTGTTGAGTGTGAAAACTTGAAACTGAAATTCATTATTTAAACAATTCTTCGTGGGCGAGCTGTGCGAGTTTGGATAGAATTCTTGTGCGAGTGAATGAAAATATCAAAAGGTTAGTATTGCATTTTTGTTTTATCAATTTACTACATAGAATTTTAATTTTACTGCTAGTTGTTTGGGGAAAAATTAAGTTACAAATTTTCATCATTATTAAAATTACTGCTTTTGGGGAAACAATTTATAAATGATTTTACTGCATTGGTATGAATTTTATTATATTTATCTAGTGCAAAATATTAATAGAGTTAGAAGAATTTGAAGAAGTTTTCTATTTTTTATTTTTCTTTTGTGTTTTTTGCAGATGATCGTGGGATGAAGACTAAAAATTTAAATGAGACATGGATAAAGAATGGTTAGTTTTAATTTGAATTTATTAGTGAAAAATATGTATAAATTATACTTACCTGTTAGTCGTCGGGGAAAAAACCGTGGGGGAAGATGTCGTGTATTATGAAGTGCTTTAATAGTTTTTAGTTCTTCAGTGCCAACTGAAAACTCATAAGGTGTGTTTTGAATGAGGTTATATAATTTGTGATTGTATTTAGTATTGTGGATGAATTCTAATATTGGGATTTCTATAGGTTGGATAAATTCATGTGGGATAAGGAAGGGTCTGGATTCTTCTGCGTTAAAGGTCTTCGTGATGGGACAAAATATATACATTTGCGTTATGGGATCATAATTGCGAAGAATACCGTGAAGGTTAGTATCTTTAATGCATATGTGAAGTTGAGAAAAAATGGTGAAGTGTATTTAGAGTTAATAAACTGAAAACGGTGGTGTGGTTGTCTTGATGGAGTGTGCAGATCAAAATGATTTTGTATGAAACGATAATATGTATATGTGTGGGTTTGTTTAGTGCGTAACATAATGTCGTGTGAGCAGTACAAATCGCGTTCATGTGGTGCAAGGAAATTGAAGGTTAGTGAAAATAATTGAAATTTTTCTTTAAAAGTTTCGTAAGCTTGCATGTCGGTTAGTGGTTCAGAAATGACGTGGTCGAATTTTCGATCAAATATATTGAGTGTAAATGCATATGGTGTTTTGATGAAGAATTTTTCTGTGATTTGTGGGTTAGCGAAGCGATCATCATCTAAAAATTGGTCTTGGTTAGCTCGGATGATGTTATGATCATAATATTCTAGCGTATATTCGTTAGCTCGGGGTGCAGTGAATGTTTTTAGTGATTTTTTATATCCTATATAAGTAAATTGTCTATGTGTGAGTGATGTGGTGAGTCGATATAGCATATCTTGATTTCTTTCTATATCGATGTAAGTATTACATAAAGGTAGGCAAAGGGGATTAGTAAAATGATAATATGATGTCCAATGAAGTGTAGGCATTAAAACATGTTCGTCTATAAAACTACGTGTGTCGTTAGTGTCGTGAGGGGTGTTTAAAGTATATTGTGGAAATGAAGGTAAGGTGATTGCTAGAAAATTTTTCGTGTTAGTATGATGTGGATGATTAATATATTCACGGGCTGTTCCTGGTTTGGTTGGGAACGGATGGTTTGGGAATTTACTTTTAAAAGTGGGATAAGCTCTATTAGTGCTATTTGATGATTCGGTGGAAGTGGATGATTGTGCTAATGATGCAGAATAAGCTGAAGAGGGTGTAGGGGTAGGTAGGTTTGAGGATTCTATTGTGGAAGAAATCTGATTTATAGTGGGGGTGTTAAGGTGTAATGGTTGTTGTTGTAGCGTGATAAAATTATCTAGTTCTTGGGAGATTTGGGGAATATCTGGAAAATTGGATGATCGGTCTGAATGAAATGAAGAGTATGTTGGGGTGACTTGTGAAGCATAAGAGGGTGTAGAAATGGATGGGAGTGGGTTATTTGGTGGGATTGGTTGAAAAGGAGGTTTTGAAAAAATTGAGGAGTTGGTTTAAAAATTATTGGATGGAGATGGTTCAGAGTCTGCAAATTCATCAGGGGTTTCAATATTAGGGTTATTGAGTTGTGAAATGGAATATAAAACTGAAATATTTGAATTAGTGTCTGAATTCGTGCCTGATGTTATATTACTAGTTAGGAAATTGGGTGGCGGGAAAGCAAAAAGTGGAATTATTGTAATTGGAGTGTTGGGTTGGTTGGATGGGAATTTGAGCGGTGTAGGGATCCAAGTTGTCGGCTCATCGTGGGCTAAAAAAATTATTATTTTGAGACGGAAAAGCGGTGGTATGGGGTTGTTCTATAATTTGTTCATATGTATTTTCATCTTGTGAATGATGTGTCATTATATGTTGTATGGGACTTTGCGATATGGTTGGTCTAAAATTTGGGTTATGTGTTATTGCTAAATTTCGAAAATTTCGTGGGACTAGGGATAATGGATGGTTATGTGGTAGGGGTGGTAACTGTGGTGCTGTAGGCGTTATTTCTATATTATTATATTCTTCGTCGTACGTGTTCTGTCTTGTCGCTATTTTTGTATTGTATTCTTTTATTTGTGCGCCTCATGAATTTTGTTTATTGATGATGAAAAAATTCCAAAAAATCCTGCAAAGAGTATGCGTGCTACACTTGCTTGTCTATTTACTTGTGTGTGTATAGCACATGTATTATAGATTCCTTTTAACAGTGAAAAAAGAAATCCTATGAAGTTAAACATTGCGTATAGAATAGTCAATTTTTCTAAGATGTAATAGGGCCATCCTAGAAAATCAAGAATTTCATTTTTTAGTGTAACAAAGCTAAAAATATTTATAGGTGAGATATCTTGTGGTCGGTATTTTTCACCGTTTAGATATATATAGTCTTTAATGTCTTTAAAATATCCGCTATAATCTTGTGTATAG